CAGTGAGATATTTTTCTCTATAATAAAATATTTGAATGATGAAATTTAATAAATTCACATTTTTTTAATTCAGGTACTTTATTTCCTCTCGGCCTAGTTCCCTAAGGAAAAGAAGTACATTCAACAGAGTTACTGGTCATGCCCTGGAATGAATTTTGAAATCATTAGGCAGTTTTAACCAAACTTTACTGAGGGGAAAAGATATAAAAATCCTGAAACTCTTACAGTTTTCTTTAAAATTGGAAACTGGAGAGAGAAAAGAGATCCTATTAATATTTCAACCAATAAAAGTTAATAAGCTCATATTTAATGAGATTAAGAATTTCCTTAAAAAGAGATATCAGAAACCAGGCTCTCAAAACTCCTCATTTCTATTACATTTCACTCAGTGGTCTTATCTGTAACTTTTTTTTAAGTTCTTGTCATTTTGTTTTGTTTTGCTTTAGAATACAACTGTAAGATACCAAATGCTTAGATGCTTATCTAGCCATATATAGGGTTTGAAAAATCTGTTGCAAGTAGGATGTTTTCCTGAGCAACTGCTATCAGCTTCTGCCAAATCTAAAAAATAGATTTCTAGTCCCTTCTGGTTTTAATGAATATCTTCCAGTGCTCTCTGAGCAGCTACAAAAGAGGCTGAGGGCGAAGACTAGTACACAAATGCTGGTCTGACCAATAGCTTTTGAAGAAACAATGTGCACAGAAGGCACAGAAGGAAGAAAGCTCCTTGCACTGAAGGATGGTTTCTGATATATCTAGGAACACTTAGCGGTGGAGCATTCAGCCAGTTACCCAATTAAGAGGCTGCACTATTCTTTCATCTTAATGGATAACAAAGATGCACTCTGCCAGAGCTTGTGGGAAAGTAATAGCTACCGCAGACTGTTACAGTCAGTGTACTGGGAACATCTGCTTCAATTTCCATGTGTGACACTGGGCAAGTCCCTTATCCTGTGTCACCTAAATAAGGGTAAATGTAATACCACCCTACCTTCAGGAAGAGTGTCAAGAGAAATATTTCAGATAATTCACACTCAGCAGCTACACAGCAGTGAACAGTGCAGCTACCTAAGAAGTTTAATGAAAGGTATGCTGGAATAAATCTGCTGCTCTGAATCTGGCAGCCTCTGTAACTGTTAACAGCTACCTCCAAACATTTAATCCACCTGAAAATGTTACTACTGCTAGTAGGTAGTATATCAGGTCCTTGTTTAAGACAAACAAATAAAAATCCCAGGTCTATGAGTGTTTATACTTACAGCCTTTCTAGTCCTATGTAGAAAGTTTCACGTCGTTTCTGTTGGTTGAGACAGAACAAGGATAAATCGTTCCAATTCTGTCCTGCTTTTGCCAAGTGCACTCAGAACATGCACCTCCTCCCTGATTAAGGAAAGCCTTTATAAACCTTTTCTACAATTTAACATGGAATTATGAGAGTATATACATTACTTCTGACTACCAAAACTCAAAATTGTGCTAAAGTTCGGGTGCCTCTGAGGAAGACAACTGCACATGGATCAAATAATACTGTCCTGCTTCTTTTGATCTCAGTAGTTACAGGCTGTAAGGGCAAAAGGGAGATACGTGTGGCCACAGAAATTTGCCTTACACAGCATTCCTTAATGGATCAATAAAGGGAGAAAAGTTCAGTATCCCTGAACACCAGTAACTCACCCATGTATTATGTCCAGGTGTGTACATCCAAGCTCAGCACAGTGCTTTGTCAGGCTCATCGTTAGGCCAAATTAAAAACCATAGGATCTAGTTAGACTCTTACCAGTGTATATGCAAAAAGTATCTTTTAACCTTTTATACCTCTTTTTCTGCTTTTCCAGATAGCAAATTCTTAACAATACTTTAAAATATTTACTACAAAACTGGTGTATATTGGGACCCAGTTATATATGTTAAGTATTAGCACATCTTAATTCCCATTTTTTTTCAGTGAAATGACATAATAACAAATTCACAATAACCCCAAGTAATTTCAGGCTTCCATTTGCCTTGACGCTTCTTGCTATATGTCATTTCAGGGACAGAAGGGATCAGAGAAAAAAAACAAACAAACAAATGCTGATAAAATAGCCTGAAGTAAGTGTCAGCACAAAGATTGGTGCAGTCTTGCCAAAGCTTTGCACAATGTTTTGTATGTCTTTCTCAACTATACAAGACAAAGCAATAGATCTGGGGTTTTAAAAGATTTTTTTACCGAAACAGAGTTAGTGCTCATAAACAGCAACGTTTCTCAGTATACTGTATTTTATTTCTTCTTTAATGGGGCTTTCGGTTTTTGTTTGGCTGAAAATTACTTTAAACACTTTACCTTGAATGTTACCCCTCATTAATATTCTCGTCCAAGGTACTACAAAAGACGTGACACACCACAGCGCAACTTCCACAGAAGTTGATAGCTTTATCTCCACACATATACATACGAAGTAAAAAGGAAAATGTTTAAAGAGGCTGCTGAGAAAATCTAGTTGATAATTAATAATGAATTAACAATAAATCAGATAACAGCCATGGTCCAAAGTATGCATATATCAGTATTTGCATGTATAAAGACATTAAACAAATGTGAAAAACTAAAAGGGTTACTTTAAAGGAGCAAATCTTATATAATTGCTTAATTTGAGGAAAGTCCTCGATTGATGAGTATAAATAAGTTGTTCACACATTCAGCAAGACACATACTAACTGTTCATGTCTCTTCACAAGCTGCAACCTGTTCAAGGCTACTGAAATTCGAGGGGGGAAAAATCCCAGCCACCCACGTCTTTTTTGTCCAGCCAAATAATCCAAACAGAAATTAATAAAGCTTAGGGCTTTCGTAAGATCTCACATCTTCAAAGTACTGAGCACACATTAGCTAATCAATGAATTCCCCTGTCTTGAATCCAAAGTGCTTTAGAGGAGTGGAGGCCAAATCACTAACTTCAGGCAAGCCTGCCCTCACAAATCTCTCCAGCTTTCTGCCATAAGGGGTGGCTGCATGCCCAGCAGAAGCTGCCCCTTCCTCAGCTATTGCCAGCTATTACCCCTATTACCCCCCAGCCAAGTTTTAACTCATAGCAGACTACCTAGAAGTCAATTTCAGCGTGCCCTGCTTGAGTCGTGCTTGCCCAGAACCGCTGGTAGAGAATTTGCCTTCCAGGTGCTCTTCCTGCTCCTCAGCAAAACTGCAACCAGTTACCTCCATGCCAGTAGGCAGGACCAAGCTGTGGAAGCAGTCTAGCAGAAGCTCACTACCTTGGCTAAGGCGATTTCAAACCAGTTGTCTCATTTGTTCAGCCAGCCCAACCTCCACGGGCTGCAGGGGGAAGCTAGCTACTGCCACCAGCTACTGCCTCCAGCAGCCTCGTGCCACAGGCCAGCCTGCTCCGAGGTGTCCAGCCAACCCTGCTGCTGCTGCCACGGACACTAGCCAGGGTCAGGACCACACCAGGCACCGAGGCCACCTCAGGACATTGGAAGGCTGAAGGAACCTCCACATTTTGGCCAGCCAGGTGTGACATGGAGGCGAGGGGGTATCACTACATGCGAGAGGCAGGGCTTTCCGACACAGCCGGCCCAAAACCCCGCGAAGGGACGAGGTGAAGGGGCCTGCAGACTACCCCTGCCGCTCTAAGGGCTTATTGCCCCTTCTCGGGAGGCGCCTCCCCCTCTTCTAACGCTGCCACCGGTCGTGCCTTCCGCAGCCGCCAGTTTCGAAGGCCGCAGGCTCGCCCCTACCGCCGGCCGGGCAGTGCAGGAGGCAGCACCCCGCCCCCGACACCCCCTCCACCGCACACAAAGCGGCCGCGCGCCCCTACTAGCTTTCCTGCGAGCGACGCCCAAGTCCCCGCCTCAACCTGCAGCCTATGAGCGAGTAGGCACCGCCCCGCGCGGCGCCCTGATCGGGATCCTGATCGCACCCGCGGCCACGCACCGCCGAGGACAGCGCCGCGCTCCCGTCCTGTCGCGTCGCGTTCCGCGGCCGGCCCCGCCACGGCGGGGGAAGGAGGCGAGAGAGCGGTGGGTGCCCCGCCGCCGGGGGGATGCGTGGGGGCGCCGGGCGAGCGCCGCGCCGCCGCTCCCGCCGGCCCTCCGCAAGGTGTCGCCATCGGCAGCGGAACGGCGGAGCCCCGCAGTGTGGCTGTGCACTGCCGCGGGACGGGCCGCGCTGTGCCGTGCCGTGCCGGGCCGGGCCGGGCGGCGGAGAGGGGGGAAGCGGGGGGGCGCGGGCACGGCGTGCAAGCCCGCGCGCCTGAGGGAAAGCGACGGCTACAGGGTTATTTATTTACAAAGCCCCGAGTGGAAGCGACTCCCTTGCCCGGCCACTTCCTTTATCCCTCTTTTTTTTTTTTTTTTGTCATTATGCTTTTATTGCCCCGAGTGTTTCCGCGGGAGATGGTGGCCGCGGGGTCACCGCTCTTCTAGAGGGGACGTTTACCCCCAGGCTCGGGCAGGGTCGGCGCGGGGCGGGGGTGACACAAAGGGAGCGCGGACGCGGCGGGTTCCGCGGGCCGGCGCTGAGCGGGGCGGGGGGTGGGCACCCTGCTGTCCCGTCCCCTCTCCCCGCCTCGGGCCGGACCGAGCCGGGCTGGGCGGGTTTGCACTGGGAGCGGGACCTTGCTGTGATCGCCGAGAATAAAGAGCGAATGGGGCTTTTGGCGCCAAATGCCAGGCACCTCCCTGCTTGTATGGAAATCAGGGGGTGGGGTTAGCTGCGCTCGCTGGGCACTGGGTTTTTTTAATGCTCCCGTCCCCGGCTGTGTCAGCTTTATCCCCCCCCCTTTTTATTTATTTATTTTTAATGCCTTTTTGGGGGGTTAATAATATCCAGCAGCTTCAAAGCGCGGCAGTGACAGTCATCTGTCTGCAAGCACGGGGTGAATGCGGCGGCTCGGGCCAGCCACGGGGGCCGGGCAGGCTGACGCTCAAGAAAGTGCAACATACAAGATCATCTGCCCTTTTTTTTTTTTTTTTATTTTATTTTATTTTTTTTTCTCCCCTCCCCCCTGCCACTCCTCCCCCCTTTGCAACACCCACCACCAGCACCAAGGAGGTAAGAAGAGGAAGCTGCAGGGTCTGGGCTGCAGGACAAAAACCCCAATCAAATAAATACAATTCCCTATCGCGTTCGAATTGTCGGACTGGGGAGGGTGGGAAGGGGAAGGAGGCGCAGGGGCACTGCGGCGCGCGAATGGGGCGTTTAGTGAGCAGAAGAAAATCCTGGGGGATATTTGTGTTTTGGTTTGGAGCTGTCGAGCTGAGATCGCCTCTGTTTTGTAGGGGCCTCTTTACTGCTTTGCATTTTAACCGGTTTAATGTATTTCCCGAGTAGAAAAATGTACAATAACTGGCGGCGCTCAGGGGGCGGGGCAGGGAGCGCAGCTGAGCCGGGCTCGTTTCTGTGCATTTCATCATAAGGCTTGTAATGGATTTTTTTTCCCTCCCGTTTTTGGTCTCCGGTTCAGCGTCAGCTGTTGCGAACCCAGCAGAGCCCTTTCCGTTCGCTGTACCGTAACCGAGCGGAAGGGAGACGCTGAATGTCTTTTTCGGACTTTCAGTCATTTTTATTTTTTTAATGTCTGATGCAACTGAGGTCTCAGAGGAGGAATGGAGCTGTGGTTGAGCGGCCGTGGCTAGCGAGGGGGGTCCGGCCGAGGTAAGGGCAAGCAGCATGTATGCAGGAGCGGCGAGGGGGCTGGAGAGTTGGGGCTGTGCAGGAGCTGCTAGTGCACGGAGCGGCAGAACGCTCAAAGTTGTTGTCCTTGCAGCCTTCCCGCTGCTCTTGTCTTGCACCGGGAAAAGGGGCAGAAAAACTTCCCGTACCTTCTTGGCAATTCAGGAGGCTTTGTTGGTGGCTCCGGGCTGGTTTTAATGCATTTTTGTGCGTGAGATTATTACATAAGGTTGATAGATTTCTGTTGCTGCTGGATTTCCCCTCCTCCTCTCCCCTCCGCCCCCCCTCCCCCCTCCCCGCCTTGTGTTTTGTGCGGATTTCTCTGACTCGCTTTGAGTGAATGAACTGGTGATTTGCGAAGTTGCAAAGAGCCCCTCCGCCCCCTTTTTTGCATCCTTCCCTCTCTCCCCTTTGCACCGCTCCGCAGACGACAAAAGGAGTAAACTTCCTCCACTTTAGCTGGCATATTAAAAGAGCTCTCCGGAGAGATTACGGTATCAAAGCCTCGCATCTGCCTGCAGTTATTCCGCCGTTCTGAGCGTCTGCAGCAGCTCGGGGAGAGCAGGCGAGTGCTATGCGCGGCAGGAAGCCCGGAGAGGCTCCGCACCCCGCGGTACCCAGCGGTTCCCCGCGGCCGGGCTTGCGGCCTGACGAGGTGGCGGGAAGCCCCGCTTGCGGGAGTGCTCCCTGACTGCCCTGCTCCGAGTGTCTTAAGCCGGGAGGAAAGGTGTGTGAGAGGCGGTTTTAACTCAACTTGCAAAAGGCTCCCCCTTTCTTGCTGTAAATGACGGGATTATTTTTTTCCTTCGGTTAAGAGGGAGTCGCATTCATGTCTGTTTGTTCCTTCGTATTTTAATTTTTCGTACTTTTGTATTTTTGGTTTAGTTTCAGATTTTGGGAGAACCTCGCCTTCCCTTTGGAAATACCCATAAAACCTGTCTCTCAAACTATTGCCCGACCCAAGGATCAGCAAGGAGGGACCCGTAATGCCAGGAATGGTCAGTAAAAACCCAGACCTCGAGTTCGATTCTTTGCAGCCCTGTTTCTACCCGGACGAAGATGATTTTTATTTGTGCGGGCCGGACTCCGCTCCCCCGGGGGAGGACATCTGGAAGAAGTTTGAGCTGCTGCCCACCCCTCCGCTGTCTCCCAGCCGGGCCGGGCTCCAGGAGCAACCCCCTGGGGGGGGCCCGGGGCCGTGGGGAGGGGCGGCCCTGGGTGGCTGCCGTCCCGCCGACCCCCTGGACTGGGCGTCCGAGCTGCTTCTGCTGCCCCCGGAGGCCGACCTGTGGGGCGGCTCGGACGGCGGGGACTTCTTCGAGACTGGCCTCGGCGTGACCAACAACCTCAACTCCATCATCATCCAGGACTGCATGTGGAGCGGCTTCTCCGCCCGCGAGAAGCTGGAGCGGGCAGTAAGCGAGAAGCTGCAGGGCAAGGCGCCCACCGCTGCTGCTGCCGCCCCGCCGCCTCCCCCGGGGGCCGCCGCTACGGGCAGCCCCGCCGCCACCGCCAGCGGCCGCGCTGAACTAGGAGGCGCCGTGCCCGAGTGCGTGGACCCCGCTGTGGTCTTCCCCTTCCCCGTCAACAAGCGGGAGGCAGCGGCAGGCCGCGCCGCGGCGGTGGCGGTGGGTGGCGGGATTCCAAGGGGCGGCCGCCCTCCGCGCCCCGCCGGAGACAGCCGAGCCAGCAGCAGCTCTGGGGACGACACCCTCAGCGACTCAGGTAAGCTCTCCCGTACGCGGCCGACCCGTCCCCGGGGCGGAGAGGGGAGGGGTGGGAGTGGTGGCGCTGGCTCTGGGCTGTGCACCGATTCTGTCCCCGCCGGCGGCACCTTCGTGAAGGGCCGGGGCGGCCGGCAGGCGGCAGCAGGAGAGGCGGCAGCGGTGGGGTCTGGCGGGCGGGCGCCGCGCCCCTGACCTGGCGGCAGCAGCGCCGTGGGGCTGCCTTGCCTCCTTGCCCCTTGTGGTGGCCAGCCACTCACCCGCCAGCGGCGGTGTCGGAGCTGTGGGGCTGTTGATCAGAGCGGGCTGCCACTGTCAGCCGGGGGACATGTGTGCCTTTAGGCGGGATTTGGGAAGTCTGAAGGAGACTAGTGAGACATTAGTGCTTCCATTGACAGACCCTAAAATGCCCCACATCTCTCGTGTGCGTGTCTGCGGAGAAGCCCACTTGGGCTGAAACGCGTTTTCGCGTGTGTAGATCAGCTGGTCTGTATGACCATATCTCCATAAACTTGGTGATCCGTACCGGTTTCAAAGCCTACTGTCCCTTTAATGTTGGGTTTGACAGCTTTGGGTGAGGAAGCACTTCCAACAGCTGTCTTCTTGGCAGTGCACCAAGCGCCGTCTTAAAGGGTCCCCGGCTGGAGCAACTTCACCTTCTGCCTCAGAACAAATCCAGCGATTGTTTCGTTTTCCGGCTGCTTTTCTAGCAATCAGGGGCTGTGTTGTGGCACAGGGCGTGCCTTTTGTACCACAGCTGTACAAATCCATCTGAAATACATACATTCTGCCTGAAATCTCTTTTCTGTTGCTGCAGTTATGTGGGTGGTAGCTCCACTTCGACTTAATCAAAGTGTTCATGATAAACTTGGAGAAAACACTGTTTTTCAGTCATTTCATGTATATTACATACTTTACCAGATCTATATCTGGCTGCAGATGGTAGGCACGCCCTGTTTTTGCCATCAGTTACTGCATTTCTCCTTTTACTGTACATACTTTGTCAATAAATACATCTGAGTTGATACTTGTTTGGAGTATTTTCTGTGAGAATAACGTTTATTTTCTGTTACCAAAAGATGATGAAGATGAGGAGGAAGAGGAGGAAGAGGAGGAAGAAATAGATGTTGTGACAGTGGAGAAAAGACGCTCCTCCTCCAAGGCTGTTACCACCCTTACTATCACAGTGCGTCCTAAAAATACCACTTTTCCATCAGTCAGGACACAGCAGAATGAGCTGATTTTAAAGCGTTGCGCACCAATTCACCAGCAGCATAATTATGCCGCTCCTTCTCCATACATGGAGAGTGAAGAGGCTCCACCACAGAAAAAGTTAAAAACTGAGGTGCCCCGTCCAGTGAAACCCACAATCCCACCAAAGTCTAAGAGTTCAAGTCCTCGAAACTCTGATTCAGAGGATAGTGAACGTCGACGCAACCATAACATCCTGGAGCGGCAGCGGCGTAATGATCTACGGTCAAGTTTCCTCACACTAAGGGACCATGTTCCAGAACTGGTTAAAAATGAGAAAGCTGCAAAAGTTGTGATCTTGAAAAAAGCCACTGAATACGTTCATTCCCTTCAAGCAGAGGAGCAGAAGTTATTGCTAGAAAAGGAAAAATTGCGAGCCAGACAAGAGCAATTGCTAAAGAAAATAGAATACAAGCGGACTTGCTAAACTGTTTTGTTTTGTTTTGGCTGACCAGGACAGTCGTTGCCACTTTGCACATTTTTGATTCTTAAAAAAAAAAAAAAATTGTGTTTTTTGACGTTAAGAATGTTGGGTTTTACTTTCAATCCAGTTCCTGAAGTAATCGACAAACTATATTATCCGGGTACGGAGCAAATGGATGTTCTTGCAAGGAGTTTATTGCAAGACTACCAAACAACAATGGACTGCCTTTGTTTTTCCTCTTAAGAACTGTAGATGGTGGGGATTTTGTTTTTTTATTGTTGTGAGCATTTGGAGCTGCTGATGACATCTAGTTGAGTTTTAAAATGTTCATTCCTAAGTTTTATGGTGCTTATGTTCTAACAGATGTTACTTTAGGGGTTGCCATTTTGTGCCCCTGTGGGAATTTTCTGTAAATACCATCTACACACTTGCCTTTTGTACATGTCTTGGGTTATGAGGTGGCTTTTGCTGCCAGTATTAGACTGGAAGTTCATACCTAAGTACTGTAATACCTCAATGTTTGAGGAGCATGTTTTTGTATACAAATATATTGTTAATCTCTGTTATGTACTGTACTAATTCTTACATTGCCTGTATACTTTAGTATGATGCTGATACATAACTAAATTTGATACTTATATTTTCGTATGAAAATGAGTTGTGAAAGTTTTGAGTAGATATTACTTTATCACTTTTTTGAACTAAGAAACTTTTGTAAAGAAATTTACTATATATGCCTTTTCCTAGCCTGTTTCTTCCAGTTAATGTATTTGTTAATGTTTGGTGCATAGAACTGGGTAACTGCAAAGTTCTGTGTTTAATTTCTTCCAACGATGTACATTTAGTGCTGCGTCTTATAGCACTTTGAAATACCTCATGTTTATGAAAATAAATAGCAATTACATGATGTGCCATTTACTATTTTTCTTTTATATGAAGTTCTTCTAAATAAAATCTTTAACTTCGCAATGTTCGTGAAATACAAAAACATGGTCCCTTATCCTGGGCACTTAAACTCTCCAACTATAGATTATGCTCTGTGAAAAGTCAGCTAGGCAGGACATTCCCATTTGTGATTATAAAGTAGTTGTCGTAAGAATGATTTTGATGTTCCTTCATACTTCAGGTGGCTCTTGTGATGTCAGGATAATCCCAGAGGACTGAACATACCACAGCCAATGGAAGGACTCCTCTGTCTTCTGGATTATCTGCTGTATGCAGAGAGGGATCCAAAACATGGCTAGCATCCTTCTGCTGTAAGGGACTGTCCTCAGTGTTGTAGACAGGTGGAGAAGTAAATGATGGAGGTACACTTGATACAGTGCAAAAACCGAAATACTTGTAGTAAACCAGGATCTTCACTGCTGTTCTTAACTTGCATTATAAAAGTTTTATCTTTAAAGCAGTCTACCATCGCATAGGAGAATTAATGTTCTTGTTTGTACTGAAGGTCCTGTTTATTACTACCTGGTCTAAGTTAGTAAAATAAAAATCCCAGGGAAGATGCAGAAGTATGAAGCATGTGTCAAAAGAGCAATGAAACTTAGCAGGTGATTGCCTCTCGAGGTGTGGTGGCATTTGGTGTGACCAGAGCAAGAGATGCCAATGCAAAACATTTGGTCATCTTGTTAAGCTCCTGGAGTCCAAGGATTTGTTTTATTTTCTAGTCTGTAAAGGTTTTTCTGGTACTGTCTTTTCCCCACACTGAACCTGAAAAAGTATGGATTAATGACCAAATGGCCAGTAATTAGTTTAAAGATCAGCTTGCAAGGAGCTAGCTTGGAACACCTACCCCTACTTTAGCCACAAAGGAAGTAGCTTGCCTGGTGATGGAGGTACAGAACATCTCGTATTTGCCTTGGAAATAGGAAGAGTGGGCAAAACCACCGTAGCAGTGAATGTGCCGTATGTCTGTGCCCTCCAGTAGCTTCTTGGTGGACCTGTAACCTGTGTGTTCATGGGCTTCAGCCAGCTTCTGTACCAAGAACACAGAATTGCACCTACTCCTATATCAGTGCAATAAATCCAGATCCTTGACATGCACAAATTGGTGTAACACCATTTTGATTCAGCTAGGCCTACACAAGTTTATGCCATGTGAAGAATTGACTAGAATAGACTTAGTAGCTTTGTCCTGGTTTTGGCTGAGATAGAGTTAATTTTCTTCTGAATAATCTAAATTCAGACTTGAGGACCACAATCATACCATAAATAGAATTTTTGGTTTCATTCCTTTGATGTGGACTTGATCTTGCTGCTTCTGCTTTCCCAGTACAGTAAAAAAGGAAACCCAACAGTAGAAGACAAGACCTAAGCAGAGATAATTGGTGTGGACAATCACAGGGTACATTTAATTTTACTAGCTATAACAACAAAAATATTTTTAAACCCCATTTTATTAGCAAGTTTTGTTGCACTGTTTTGCTGTTTTCAAACAATATACAAGTCAACATGAGTCTTATTGCAGAAGAAAAACAAAAATGAACAGATTCCTTTCCCTTCCCTGGGTCAGATCAGGTTGCTCTGGGTCATGTACAGCCAAGGTTTGATCATCCCCAAGGGTGGAGATTCCACAGCCTCCTCGGACAACACGTTTCATTTTTTGAGTGCCGTGACGGACACAAATTTTCCTACTAGCTGTTTGGAATTTCCCTTGTTCCAACCCCTGTCCGTTGCCTTCTGTCTTGTGTTTAACCTCCGTGAAGTCTGTCTCCCATCTTCTGTGACCTCCCATTAGGTAGTTGAAGACAGCAATTACTTCTTTCTCTTCTGGAGACAACCCAGTTCTGGTTTGTATTGTTGTGGTGTTCAGGTATTTAGAATATAACAAAGGTGTCAAATACTCAGGTTTGTTTGGATATTCATCACAAATCCCATCTAAAAGCCTCTTTCAGTCTGGGAGCCTGAAAAAAAGCCTGATGCTTTTGAATTCAGTGATAAACATCCAGCTGCTGCCAATGGAGATGGAATCTGGCCCCCTTGGGTTCAGAAATGCTCCCACATACTGTACTGTTTGCTGCTATAGGCTCTGCTACCAGTAACTTGGGGTTGTCTTTTTTTTTTTTTTTTCCTTGTTTTAAATAACTTTCAGGAGTTAATAGCTTTATTTTCACGTTGCTGTAGGGAGCAAGTTATCAGGGGCAAATGTTTTTGTAAACAAAAATCTCAGTTGTAGGATGTTATTGTTACACTTGTTAAATAGATTCTTTTGTATTTACATCATAAAAGAACAGGCATGTAGGAATGATAGCTTTTGAAAAGAAGAGGTAAACAACTCATTTAGTAATATTTTCTGAAGAATCAGCACCCTAAAATGTCCATAGAAAAGGACATAGAGACATAGCCACAACAGTAGCAAAGGTTCCTTGTGCATGCATATGAAGAATCCGTGGAACTCAGTCAAATAAGGAAATGGGACACTTTTTCTTTTTTTTTCTTTTTAATATAAATACCTACATTTGCATAAGAAAAGCAAACATCTGTCTGGAGAATCTGTTAAAAAATGTGGCAAGTACCCAATAACTTCTTATTGAAACGTGGGTATTACCAGTTCCTGAAGGGAATTGCAGTCTTATCTGGTCTGATTGCAGTCTTCTCTGGTCTGTTATAAAAATTCCCAAGTTCTTCATAAAAGACTGAATCTGCTGATGGAATCACATGATTTCCTTCCAAATCATATATCCCAGAGGATGGTATCCTTCCACTTTTCTGTTTATTTTCTTAAACATACCACTAAGAACACAAGGGAGCTGAAACACCAAAATGAAATGATTCCTCCATAAACTAGTATAAGTAAAACACCAGAGGGAGAGCTTAAAAAGGTGAAATGTGTTAATGATGTCATTACCACTAGGTCACCTGTTGCCATGAGTGTGAAGGCAAGTGCTTTTCTCAAACCCCAAGCTGCTGTTATAGCAGCTTATCACCAGGTCTTGGCAGGGCTGTTTAGGATTTCATGATGTGAATAATTTGCAGAAGGCACATTTGCTCCTCATCAGTATACTGATAAACCAAACTTGAATAAAATGCCTTTAAAAGGATCGCATTCTTAAGAATGCATTTCCTAGTTCGTGACTGATTTAAATCAGAAGATTTAATTTTGTTTAAAATTTTAAGTGTGAGATAATGAATTTAATGATTTTCTAATGTACCATTAGGGTACGATGTTATCACACTCTCAGCAAATGCTTCATGATTTATACCTGGGTTCCTTTATTTTCCTTGTGTCCATTTCCTCTTTCCTTTTTTTCTCTTCCTCCTTCTCTTCCCCTCTATGCCTAAACCACATGTGGTGACTCTTCTCTCAGGAGCCCAAACACATCGAAGTTAAAGGGTGATGTGGTGTCACAAGGACCCCTTGGAAAATAAGCCGGGATTGCTGCAGAAACAGGAGAAACACAGCACTTCCAGGTACCTCACAAGAAAGTAATGGTGAAAAACATGGAAGAGAAGCTAACAGTAGGGCTGGGACAGAGGTTTTCGCCCCAGCACTTCTGTCTACCACTGGTAAGCAATGGAGCAACTGGGCTCAACAACTGCCTGAAATGAGGGCCCAGACAAGCTTTCACTTCTGCTGGGCTACTGTTTCCAGTCTGCTACCATATTAGTTTTAGCTGCCCATCTGTTTGTGCTGACCCTGCAAGGAGGCTTGGCCACAGCAGAACAGGCATTTTGCTGTTGGGCTGCATGATGTGACAATTTCCCCTGCCTGCAGATCTGTGATTCTCATCCAGCTTTGTGCTCCTACCTTTTGTGAGTGTGATTAATTAGATGTATATCTGAGCAACAGTCAGCTCAGAGAAGACAAAATGAATTCTTGATCTCTGAGCTGTGAAGGTTCCTTGTACTTATGCTGTATGTATAGATCAAGATACATGCTGCATGCACACAAGGGATTCCGTATATGTTGATTCATGAACCTTGCTAAATAAAGCCAAGTGTATATTTTAACAGATCAAGTCATAAGACTGTCCACTTCGTCCTTTGAATAAAAAGCAAACAAGGGTATTTTGTTTCCTGTATTTATGATCTTAATATGACATACCTAAATAATTCAGAAATTAAAAAATGCACCTACAAAGTAAATACTATCGATTCCAAGTATTTTTGAGCTTCATGATGAAATGGATGGGTGTGTACATTTATCAGACTTAAAATTTATCTGATTTACAAGTAAATTATGGCCTATTTGTTACTGATCTCTTATGTTTTTTACTGTGACGGTGGTGAGGCACTGGAACAGGTTTCCCAAGGATGGCTGTGGATGCTCCATCCCTGGAAGTGTTCAAGGCCAGGTTGGACAGAGCATTGGGTGTCATGGTTTAGTGGGAGGTGTCCCTGCCCATGGCAGTGGTGTTGCAACTAGATGATCTTAAGGTCCTTTCCGACACTAAATGTTCTATGATTTTAGACCAGGTTGCTCAAAGCCCAATCCAACCTGATCTTGAACACTTCCAGGGATGGAACATCCACAGCTTCTCTGAGCAACCTGTTCCAGTGGTTCACCACCCTCACAGTGAAGAACTTCCTAATAGCTAGTCTAAATCTCCCCTTTTTCAGTTTTAAGCCATTCACCCTTGTCCTACCACTACACGTCTTGTATAATGTCCCTTTCCAGATTTCCTGTAGACCTCCTTTAGGTACTAGAAGGCTGCTGGAAGGTCTCCTGGATCATCTTCATGGCCTTGTCAAACAGGTCTACGTCCTTCTCATGTTGGGGACACCAGAACTGTATGGAGTACTCCAGGTAAGGTGTCACAAGAGGAGAGTAGAGGTGGAGAATCACCTCCCTTGACCTGCTGGGAACATGGTTGGTTGATTCCTTTAGAATTGCATGTACTCTTAAGTAAGAGCAAATTCCTGTGTAAAACAAAATCTAAGAGACATCCTCAGTTTTATCTAGTAATC